GCTTAATTAAATTACATTCTTAAACTCGGGTGCACATTGATGTGACTCAAATCCAAATCTCAACGGAGTCGAAATGTATTGATNCAAGTGGCGACTCTGAATTAAATAAATAATCTCATTTCGAATATTGTCACTTAAATTGAAAAAAACTCCCTCGCGCATTTTAACCCTTCGGGGCGGCCCGCGCAAAAAGGAGGTGTGACACCCGGTTATGGATAAACATTACCCTAGATAGAAGATTATCCATACCGGGTATAATAAGCTTATCCATTCAGTACTCCGTTATGGATAAACATTGCTCTCAGTAGAAGATCATCCATATCTGGTATAATAGCAGCTTACACAGCAGCTTGCAGTAGCAGCTTACACAGCAACTTGCAGTAGCTGTTTACACAGCAGCTTGCGTAGCAGCTTACACAACAGCTTGTAATAGCAGCTTACACAACAACTTATAGTAGCAGCTTACACAACAGCTTCCTTTCTTCTATAAATAGAAGAGATTTCGGTTCATTATGTACATCAATTTGAATTCGAATAATATATCAGTTTTTTTCTATACGTGTCTTTACTTTACCGTCTTTATTTTATAAACACTCTCCCATATTTTCCTCGCTCCTTGTCCATATTTATCTCAACCTCTTTTCCAACATATCATGTACAATTTTCTTATTCTACAAGCGCATTTTCTTATGATCCTCCAACTCCATTTCTAACACCAATTCCACCACCTTTCTTTCCACCATTTCTCCCTCTCTCACACGCACACACTAGAAAGCACGTATATATAACGTACATATATACGTAGAAATACAGATAGTTCCACGATGCCGGAAGGTCATAGAGGACACAGAACGCGACATAACCGCGGGCTGAGCCGAGAACCGGCCCGGGACAGAGTGCCGTTAAGGCTACTCCTCCGAGTGGCATCAGTAGCCGGAGGGATACAATTCGGGTGGGCTTTACAGCTGTCACTACTCACACCATACGTGCAAGAGCTCGGAATTCCTCACGCATGGGCTAGCATAATATGGCTCTGCGGGCCGCTTTCGGGCTTGCTGGTTCAGCCTTTGGTTGGACACATGAGTGACCGGTGTACCAGTCGGTTCAGTCGCCGGCGGCCGTTTATTGTTGACGGAGCTGTGTCGATCATGATTGCTGTGTTGATCATCGGTTTCTCAGCTGATATTGGTTGGTTGTTCGGCGATAGGGGTGAGAAAAAAGTGCGGGCTATAGCAGCTTTTATAGTAGGGTTTTGGCTGCTTGATGTTGCTAATAATTTGACTCAAGGACCTTGCCGTGCTCTTCTTGCTGATCTTACTAGTAAGCTCTCCTTTCAATTTTGACTATTACTAGTATCTTTTTTAAGCACGTGCTTGTGGATTTTTCTCCTATTGCATTTTCTACTATGCTTCTTTATCTGCATTTAAGCTTTGAATTTGTAATTTTGCCATTTTGATTCATATATTTGGTAGTCTTCCTTTTTTCTTTTTCCTTTTTTTTTTTGCGGGTAAATTCTCTGTTTCTTTCAATGGAATAATCTTTTCTTCTCGGAGAAATCGGCAATCATTCGTGGCAACGCGATGGACATTTTTCCGACGTGTGCTTGTAAAGTTATTGTGCTAGAACTCGTAGTTAGTGCAATGGACAATGCTGCTCCTTCCCCTATGTAGCGGGGCAGACCCACAATATACTACCTATACGATGGGCTGATCAATGGGCTGATGAGCAAATTATTCATCGATAAGATATACGTATAGTTTTTTTTTAATGACAGTGGCGTCCATTGAGCGCACCTCTACTATTCCAGGTACCTGCTACTTCTCACGGTCCACCAACACAAGTACCGGGTAACTCGGTCCACTAAAGGTTAGGCAGATAGGAAAAATTACTTGGTAATTTTATCTCTTTGGGAGTATAGTTTGCATTGTTTTTATTTTTTAATATATCATCCATTTCATTTTAGGTGAACCTTTTCACTTTTCGAGATTCAACTATGTAAACTTTGACCAACATTTTGAAATTTTATTTTTCGTCCGATTGACATGAGAAGAATTGTAACTTATACTATTTTCGGATAGTTTTTGAATATCTAAAGTTTAATATTTAAATATTGAGTTAATCCAATATAATTTAGCTTCAAATATTAGTTAAAAGGTTCATACAAACTAGATCAGCGAGAGTATTAATGTTGTCACAACTGTCTTGAAATTTGTTCCCTTTACTTTTAGTATATTTTCTTTTTTAGTAGACATTATAATTATGTTTCTGCTTTTAATTGAAAATGAGATGACGATTATAAGATCCATATTTAATCTGTTATCTATCCTATAATAAAAAGCAAAAATCCAAATTAAATCTCTTATGTAGGAAATATATATCATAGTCTACAAGCTTTGGCTTTTCAGAATCCTACTTCAGTTTTCTAATTTCTTTAAGAATAAACATTTGCTTATTTAGTTCATTAATTATGTTTTCATGATAGATGAGCTTAAATGGAGCAACATGTTCAGATTCATATTGCCTACCCAACTTGTTTGGGCTTGCGGCATACTTTGTTGTTTGTATAATGTTTTCTTGGTCCACCTAAGGAGCTAGTAATATGTCCTTTCTATATCGTCATTTCATTTTTTGGCCGCACTCCATTTGGGGGAGAGCAATATATGCATAAAAAATAGAGAAATTGATGAATATGATGGCATTGGTTCAGTTATAGTTATCAGATTTGAGGCAGAGGGCTTCTTGGATTAAGTAGAAATATATAGAGTTAGAGCATCATTAATACGACAAAGAATATAAAATGCTTGGTAGAATCTTTTGTGAGACACCAACTTAATTTTTGATAAGAAACCAACATGTATTGTCTCTTATAAAAAAAGACACCAACTTACATTAACAACAGGGTATTCTCAATCTGTAACTATTTATTACTTCGGGAAGTTGCCTTAAAAGTTGTGACATCTTTCTTGTGATCTCTATGCATGGTAGGAAAGGATCACAGAAGAACTCGAGTAGCAAATGCGTACTTCTCCTTGTTTATGGCTATTGGTAACATCCTTGGCTATGCCACTGGATCTTACAGTGGCTGGTTCAAGATCTTTCCTTTCACCCTCAGTTCTGCATGCACCGTCAACTGTGCCAATCTCAAGGCTGCTTTTGTTATTGACATTATTTTTATTGCAAGCACTACATATATCAGCATATCTGCAGCCAATGAGCAGCCTCTAAGTCCCAGTCAGGTTGCCCCTCATACTACCGAAGAGATTGGAGAATCAAGCCATAGTCAAGAAGAAGCTTTTCTCTGGGAATTATTTGGAACTTTCAAGTTCTTCCCAGTTTCAGTTTGGGTGGTCCTGCTTGTCACTGCTCTGACTTGGATAGGATGGTTTCCATTTCTGTTGTTTGATACTGACTGGTTTGGCAGAGAGATTTATGGTGGTGAGCCAAATGATGGAAAGAACTATAGTACTGGAGTTAGAATGGGTGCATTGGGTCTAATGTTGAACTCAGTGCTCCTTGGAATAACATCAGTTTTCATGGAGAAGCTCTGTCGGAAATGGGGGGCTGGTTTCACATCGGGAGTTTCAAACATAGTCATGTGTCTCTGCTTTATAGCAATGCTTATAATTAGTGTTGTTCGGAATAACATGGACATTGGTCTGGATCTACCCCCAGATGGCATTGTTATCGCTGCACTAGTAGTATTTTCTATTCTTGGGATCCCACTGGCAGTAAGTTACTTCAAGTTGTATCCTTAAATTCTTATGTTCTAACACATGTATATGTTGGAGAATGGAAAGATTAGACACCTCTAAACTGCAAGTTGTCTCCTTTCTCCTGATTAATTATGGACAACCAATTGCTATCTGTCTTTTCATTTCTACTCTATGCCTTTGTTTGAAACTAGGGGAAGAAAGAAAATAAGATGGAAAATGATGGAGAACTGAAAGGAAATTTAAAACTTTTACGTTGTTTTGTTATAAAGAGTTAAGGGCCAGGGAAATAAGTAGGCCGTTTAATAAGCAGTTTATGGGCTCAAGAGAAGATATTTTATTTCTTCTGAAAATTTGGAAACTATCTCTTCCTTTCCCTTTTGTCTTCTGAAACAACGTCAGATTTTGTCAGTCAGTTGACAGCTTGCTCGATTTCGCTCTTTCTTTTCTTTCGAGTAGACAATACTGCGAGCTGATGACAGTTGAAATCTGTTGCTTTTCAAACTTCTATAAGCTGAAATGATATTATTGTGTAACTGACTGAATCTTGAAGCCTATCAACTGTAACATGATATGGAAGGGTATTAGAGGGAGGTAACTATTACAGAAGGCTTTAGCATAAGCACTATATTTATGTTGGCTTGGAGAGAACTTCGTCCAGGCTCTGATTGTTTTTTTCTCCAAACTAATTCTTTGCAGATAACATACAGTGTTCCGTATGCTTTGGTATCCTCTAGGATTGAAGCTCTAGGGCTAGGACAAGGTAGGTCGAACTATGTCTCTTTAGCTTATCCATGTATCAAATAGAAAGTAATGGTTCAATTATTGCTTTCAACCTTGCAGGACTGTCAATGGGTGTTCTGAATCTAGCAATTGTGATTCCACAGGTATCGTTTTGCTCATCTATTCTTTTGTTTCTTTTTATTTCATGTTGCTTCCAAGCCACTAATTCTATGGATCCAAAAAGGGCTTGTCACAAAATTTCAGCCCTTCCAGATGTTTTGAGTGAAAGCACTGGAGAGAAACAGAGGCATAGGAGAAATGATTTTTTTTGGGTATCTTAGAGTAATGTTGTACCTTGGGCCGGGCCCGGGCCAAACGGGCCGGGCTTAACGGGCCTGGGCTTGGCGGTCCCGGGTGAGGTCCCGGGCTTCGTGGGCTCAACGGGTGGAACCAGCCCGTGACGGGCCTAAGGCCATATGGTCCTGGGCTAAACGGGCCGGGCTCGTGGGCTTAGCGGGCCTAACGGGCTTTTTGATTTCCGGGTTTTTTTTAAAGGCAATTTCTTGTAAACCATATCATGGCTATATAAATAATATATATGTAATATATATGTAGAAATCAAATTATTAAAGTGCTTCAATACATAGAAATCAAATCATTTTTGGAAATTGAAAAAAAATGGCTATTTGTGCAATATGGCCGTTGGTGGTCATTGGAGGTGGGGCCCTCATTTTGAATTTTGAAAAATCTTGTTTTGTAGTATATATATTATACTAGTATAGTATATAATATATATATATATATAGTATACTAGTATAGTATATTATATATAGTATGTTATGTATGTATATATTACCTTATATATTTTCTTGTAGTATATATTGTATGTTATGTGTATATATTCCCTTATATATTTTCTTGTAGTATATATTATATGTTATGTGTATATATTCCCTTATATATTTTCTTGTAGTATATATTGTATGTTATGTGTATATATTCCTTTATATATTTTCTTGTAGTATATATTGTATGTTATGTATATNAAGGTACTAATACCACCATTAAAAGGGAAAAAAACTAAAAGAAGATATGCCAAAGTACAAGGTACACCATAATCTACATTGTATCTCTATCAAATTTCATAAATCCTTCATGGTTCGGAGGAAGTTGCGTTGGTGGTGGTGGAAAAGAAGCTTGTTCATCACCACTTCCGGGCGAAGCAGCATCCT